ATTCATCTGAGCAAGAACTTTGCTATGCCCATTTCTGAAGACGCTGTTGCTGCTCTGAAGGAAGTTGGTCAGGACGGAGGTCGAATCGTGACAATGCTGGCAAGTACTTGAACCATGAACTGATCCCACATAAACTAACCCCTCTCTAGAAAATCAACCCCGATACCGAGGTGGTGGAGCTCGTCCCCGAGGCACCCACTCCAAGTGGGATTGCAGAACTGACGCAGGCCATCTCCTCAACTGAGCCGCGGTTCACCTTCTACCGCTACACTCACACGCACAACGGCGCCGAGTCGAGCCCCATCCTGTTCTTCTACACCTGCCCGTCAACACCCGGAAACAAGTCCATCAAGTTCCGAATGATGTACCCCCTGATGAAGCGATCCGTCCTGGAGGTCGCTGAGCGGGAGGCTGGTCTTAAGCTTGAGAAGAAGTTTGAGGTGGAGGAGCCTAGTGAGATTACCGAGCAGTCGGTTTTGGAGGATTTGCATCCCAAGGTTGCGGCCCGGCAGGGCTTTAGCCGACCCAAGCGACCTGGTCGATGAATCTGAGTTCGTGAGATCTGAGTCAGTCAGTACGGTGAAACGTTCAGATTACTCGTGCTCTTTTTTCAGCGGCTACAGTTTGAAACGGGGGTTAGATAAACGTTGAGATTGATACACAAAAAAAGTCAATTGCCCAAGCTACAAATGCTGGTATTTATCCAAGATGCATGCACGCAATAAGAACCCAAGCCGCCCTTCACTCCAATGCATGGTATACTTATTCCCTCTCTATGCTATTCATCCTTCTTTTTCTTTCTGTCCTATCCTCTCATCTTGCCATCTTAGATCGACTCTTCAGCCTCCTTCACAGCAACTTGCACTGTGAACTGATTAGAAACTGAGACGATCTAAAGCGGCTTCCAAGGTATATGTTTGATGGCGTTCTCGTGGTTCGTCCTTCTGGGTAAAAGGGATCACCAACAAAGAGCTTCAGTTGATGATGGTGATTTCGTGGTTTGTTGCCACTGCTTTATTCCTCGTACTTGCCTCCGACTAGGGAAATGTTGCTCTTTTCTAGCTTATCCTTGAGGAACTCGTAGACGGTAAAGGTGACGGCTTGACCAGGGGCGACACGCATGATTCGAGGGGTGATACCCTTGTAGAAAGCGTGAATTCCTTCTTGCCTGTGAAGAGTCAGTATTTAAATCTTTCTCGCGCTGAAATGTGTGACTCACTTGAACATGTCTCCAGCAATTCGAGTAATACGTGTCCAGGCGCTGACTCCAGGCTCAGCAGTAGCCTTTTGCAGACGAGTCTTGATAGTATCGATAGGAGCGTTGCTCATAGGACCCATAGCACCAGAAACAAGACCGATAAGAGTAGTTTGCCAGTTGGGTAGGTTTGTGTTCTCATACTGAGGCTGCCACTGCTTCAACCAATCCTTGAAGTAGCTGTACGCAGTAAAGTTGACAGCCTGGTTAGAACCCTGTCTCAACGCCGTCAAGCTCACACCGCGGTACAGCGCGCCGAAGCCCTCCTCCTTGACAACAGTGTACAGCGCATGCGCAGCATTGCGATACTTGGGGACGTCGAGAGGATCCGCCATGGAGTGGTGCTGCGCCTGGAGACGAATCTTGATGACCTCCATGGGCGTGACGACTGCGACGGCTTCTGTGACACCGGCTGATAGACCGGCGATGAAGGTAGCCTTTCCAGAGACGACGCCGGTTGTTGGATCAGCGAGGATCTGCTTGTACCACTCAAAGGATGTGAAGCGGATGGCCATCTTTGGCACGATGCCTGTGAGGACGGCGCCGAGACCCTTGTAGAGACCGAGGGGTGTCTCCTTTGCGACGATGGCGGCGCCGGTCTTGATGAAGCCGCGCTTGGGGGAACCTGGTTGGCGCCCGCGCCTTGAGAGCTGCATGCGGACTTTGATTGTGTCTTTTATTTTATTTCACATGTTAATCACTTTTTCTTTGGCTGTGAGATTTCTTTTTTGGGTTTGCGACTGGAGCTTACCGAGGGGATGACATGCGAGAGCTTCCATCATACCAGCACCACCACCAGCTGCGACTCATGTTAGCTTCTGTACATTTGCGCATGGAGAATTGGTCGGTCCCCAAAAATCATTTTCTTTGGCTGCGACATACCAATGAGGTTGACAGCCGCTGAGGGCGGCTGTTTCTTTCCATTTCCATTCTTTGAAGCCATTGCGACAGAATTGATCTCTCGGTCAATCTTGCGCCGAGACAAGCAACAACTATTTCAAGATCCGAGAGGTTTGCGCCGAGTTCGTAGAGCCGAGGTTCGGATCGGTGGATGGTTTTATTTACTTTTTAGTCTAAGAATAGCTTCGAAGGACAATAGGAACAGACGAGACAGAGACAGAGAGCAAGGGACGGAAAAGTGAAAGAGAAGGCTAAGAGGAGAGAAGAGAAACAGGAGCGGAAATCGGAGGAGGAGGAGGGAAACAATTTAAAGAGAATCGAAAGAGTAGAGCAGAGTAGAGTAGAGTAGCATATGCCATGACCACGATCCATGTCGGCGATGGACCGAGTCTAGTAGAGGGTCTAATAATACTCACACACCTCAAAAGGTTATGATTGAAGTCCGGAGAACCCCACATTGTGAACTAGGAACTAGATTACGGGGAAAAATAAGTTGGAGTTGGGGAATGGACGGGAACGGGATTGGGGGTGAGAATGGAAGACCTCGGAGGATGCCTTGGCGATGGATGAATTGGCTGAAGACACGGCATTCAAAGGTGTGATTTGTGTGATTATGGTATTATTGGGTATTTCATTGCCCTGTTTATAACAAGATCTGTTAAAAATACATGTTCACGAAGCTGTATAGTTAATCACCAAAACGTATTCTCATCATGGCATGTAGATTCATGCCTTCACACCCTCTCTCCCAGATGCCGTCCCATCGTCTCTCACATGCAACTCCCCTAAACCCCTTCCAGAACCAACACAAGAAACTCTCACTCTCACTGTCAGTCTCACAAAATATTCCACAAACTCTGACGTCGGCCCTCAGCTCTGGGTTTCTTTAGACCGAGAGTCGATGCCCCACCAGTGAGCGAGTGGTCCGGGCAGATGGAGGACCAGGGTTCAGAGCATCATTCCATGCGGCCGAGAACAACGAGCCTCTGGCTGACTGTTTCTTCCAAGAGTGAGTGGCACGCACATGCTACAACAGTAAAAAAGCCCTGAAGGAAATAATTTTGGTGATCACGAGCTTGAGATGACTCAATTTGCGAGAGCGAGCTCGGTGAGAGATTGGCTTGGCTGTAAGTGACGTCGATGCTCTTTTACCGACGGGTAGCCGAGCTTGTGATATTGCGGGGTCTTCTCCCCGTTCCCCTAGAGAATCAACTTTATTCGTGAGGAGAAAGGGTAGAGCCGTATGTACATATCTACTGTATGTATGGTATGTATCATGACAGCCCCAGCCCAGGGAGAATTTACGTATTTATGATCACGAGCTCCAAGCAGGGGACTCTCTGTAAATCATTGGTTCTCTTTCATCACTTCAACGGTAGCTACCACCAATTACCATCCCCCACAGCTCTTTGATTCTATTCACACACCTCTGACCAAGACTCACACCCTCTCCAAACGGCCATCGTCCGCTCGTCAAGGGGAGAAATAAAACAATAGCAAGGAAAAAAAGGTGAAGCGCATGACCGAGCTTTGCCGAGGTCTGCAAGTGGACTCAGCCTACGATTCCCAGTTATTTTCATATCACTTTTTATTCTTTTTATTAAGAAAATACTCTGATCTGTTTTTTATAAATTTCCGGAAGTGCTTCACCGTCGGGTAAAGACTCTCGCACTGCCGTGCCTGTATGTAAAAGTAAAAGGAGAGGATATCGATTGCCGATGAAGAATATAAGTGCCCCCCGCGGAAATAGGAAGCTGTGAGTATTAACTCTTCCGTGCTGTTCCGATAAGATTCGATTCATTGTTTAGAGACAAGGCTAGGCACGGATAGATGCCGATGTTATATGCCTTCCATGTTTCCATCAGACTCGGAGCTCGAGGTCGGAGCTTCGGAGACTCGGATGTGAGGTCTGATTGGCTGTGTACCTGAGGCGCTTCCGAGAGAGTCCTGAGAGTGTCGGAATTGGAGGGTCCACTTCGCGGAGCCGCGACGGTCAAAGGTCGTAGCCGACCCGGCCAGGAAGGTCTCCGCTGGTCTACCACTGTCTCTGTATTGCATTCTAAAGCTATTTCATGCTCTCTCACCTAATATGTTGTGAATAGCCTCAAGTCTGTATCCATCTCACGGATGATGACTTGAAAACACGGTATAAAACGGAAGAGTCCTTGTCACAAATTATACCCGGATGTGACTTCAACCGCCAGGGTCCAAGATCATTAATTAGACTGATTTGACTGGTCCGCTTACCGCAAATCATGCTGTATCCACATCCCGATATTGCAAACCCCCAAAGTCTTGAATTTCGTCAGGGACTGACGATGGGGGATGTTTGGGATGAAACGTGACAAGATTGCTGTGGCTCGCAGTTGGCTGTCATGCGATTGATAATGTGATCTTGTCTGTTGATATGCTTGTAAGACGAGAGCCAACACAATTTTGCTTTACTTGTTACATAAAAACTTGATCATAAAGCCATGGCTGTGAAGTGAGAGCAAACTTCCACCATGAGGTCTATGCACCAGACATTTCGTGTGACACGAGCTGCAAACAGACAGCCTACTATGATGCTTGCTTGCAAAGTTCATATGCAATGAGCCATTTCATGACTATCAGTTGTAAACCCCCATCTGTCATGATCAGTAACAGAGGTCTACAGTCAAGCCAAGCAAGTTAACATAAAGCTGACAGACTCACATAAAGCCACAGGCCTGTCCACTCTTTTCACTTCGGAGTTGAGGATATGCTATTTTATATACGTTTGGATAGTATCCAACATCTCATTTCATCTTCAACCCTCTCATCTAAAATATAGCGCCTGAACCGCAATAACTGGCATAACCTTTCCTTAGATATCCGCCGCCTCCCCAGCACTTCCCCCTATATTATTCGCAGGCCCGCACTCAACCACCCTTCCTCTGTCCAATCTCAAGCACCACGTCGCATCCTCTACAGCCTCCAACCGATGCGCAATCGTGATGACAGTGCTCTCTCTGAGTTCCTGCCTAAGGATCCTCTGCACCATCGCTGCTGTCCCACGATCGATTGACGCTGTCGCTTCGTCAAGGATGACAAGGCCACTTCGTCGCAGTACAGCTCGACATATACCCACGAGCTGTCTCTGTCCCTGACTGAGGTTCTTTCCGCCTGCGTCGATGCGGGTTTCGAGACCCCAGTCAGTACCGAGAACCCGATGGATTGCGTTTGTGCAATCTTGGTCGGAGAACTTGGCTTCTGGGTCGATGTTGTCGTGTAGTGTGCCCGGGAAGAGGATTGGATCTTGTTGGATGAACGTTACGCGATTGCGGAGGGCTGCACGGTTGATGTGGGCGAGATCGATGCTTCCGATTGAGACGGCGCCAGAGTAAGGGGCTTGTGTAACTAGGAGAGCGTTTGCGATGGTGGACTTTCCTGAGCCTGTTCGGCCGAGAACTGCGCACGTTGAACCACCAGGGATCTCGAATGATACGTTGTCCAGCACGGAGGGGAGGTCATCGGCGTACTTGAATGACATATCCTGGAAGCGTACACTATCGCATGGCCTGGGCCAGTCTTGGGGAGGCTCGATATCACCGCTGGGTTCTTCAGGGATACGGTTCAGAGCATCAACTCGTTCGAGCGACACGGCATCGAGCTGGAGAGCCGCAAACTTCTCGCATAGCTGTTGAACAGCAATCATGGCGATGTTGGTCTGCGTCAGAACAAAACCGACTGCACTAGCTGGTGTGCCCATATATACCATGGAGAGAACGAGGATGGTTCGCATGATGGCTGAAGACATACCGAGTCTAAAGTCGAGCCAGAACGTCATACTCCAGAAGAAATGATCGTGCTTTTGGAAGTCGTCAACAGCTTCCAAGTGCTTATTTTGAAAGCGGCTCTCGACCTTGAGAGCACGAATTGTTACAAGACCATCTTGCATGACTCCAATGTTGGCGATGATAGGAGTCAGATATCGCATCTCCATTCGGCGTAGGCAGCGCGAAGCGGGGACGTATATACGGTAGAAGTATGCGAACAGAACAGCGACAACAAAGATAACCGCTACAAGGAAGATCTGATGTGTCATGATAGCGAAGAGACTCAGAGAGAGAGCGACCAGGTTGAAGACGAATTGTTCGAGGGGTGCGAGAATTCCACCATCGACCATGCCCATGTCGGAGATGAGACGGTTTTTGAGTTGGCCTGTCGGTGTGGTATCGTGGTACCGGAATGAGGCCTTACTAACTCTGTCGATGGCGATTCTGAAGAGCCGTTGAGCTGCGCGGATGCTGATCGAAGCGAGGAGAACTTGGGCCGAGGCGTATGAGAGAATCTGGGCGATCGATAGACCCGCGAGAACGTATAGCCATGGACGAGGATTTTGGTTGGGGTTAGGCAAACCCCAATATTCGCTTTCGATGAGAGTCTCTAAGTTTGCAGATTCATGGCCCCATGCTTCAAGAAGTCGTGCTCGCGCAATATCGCAGTATCGCGATAATGCATAGAACAAAGATAGAAATACCCATAGGTGCCATCCTCCTGCACCCATGTATCTAAGATAGATGCCAATAGGGATAGCTCCTGTCTCAGTAACTTCTTCAGGAAGACCCTTGTCGCTTGGATGTTCTTCCGATACATGCTCATTAGGCATTTCGTGAGGTTGAACTTCAGCAGGGCCGGAGTTGAAGAGATGAGGATGGTCGAGCTCTTCTTTGAGTTCCGTTGGAGTGAGAACATGGGCGTAGCCATCGTTTATATCGATAACTTGGTCGGCGTGTCGAAGAACGAGATCATCGCGATGAGTGACGAGGACAATTGTTCGGGTCTTAGCCAGGGGTCCGCAAAGGAAGCGCTGAACAATATAACTCGCCGTATCATGATCCAAAGCTGCAAGAGGGTCGTCCAGAAGAACAATTCGACAACTACTGTAGACTGCCCTCGCCAGAGCCACACGCGCCTTTTGACCGCCAGAAAGGCCGATACCGCCCTCCTCAAGCTTGGTTTGATCACCCATAGGAAAGGTTGCGAAATCAGGAATCAGCGCACAAGCACTAATAACTTCCCGATATCTTGCGCTATCGAACGATTCATGGAACGTAATGTTATCTCTGATGCTCTTATTCTGCAACCACGGGAGCTGCTGCGCATACGAGATGGGTTCATCAGCTCTTGAGAAGTGACCGCTCTTGTGCTCCAGCTCGTTGAGGATCGCAAGCAATAGACTAGATTTGCCTGAGCCAACTTTGCCGCGCACCACAGTCAGACCCGCTGAGAACTTGAGGGTTAAGTCGCGAAGAACGAGATGGTCTGTTGAGGGGCGTGCGAAACTTGCTTTGTGGAACTCGATATCGCGCGCTTCACAGCCGCTGAAGGCGTCCTCGTCTCGGTCGGGTTCGGACATGTATTTGTTGACGCGCTCGACGGGGATAGTGCACTTCCACACTGCAGAGATAAGATCGAAAGCTTCGCGGGTACTAGCTTCAAGCTGTGCAAAGAGCTGTAGTGAAGGCCAGATAACGTCGTTGGGGAGACCGCGTCCAAGGATGAGTGTGTACAAACAGATACTCGCAAACGGATAAACCGCACCGCCAAAGACATTGATCGTGGAGATGGTAGCATTGACCATAGAAATATGAAACCGCTTCCTCATCTCGACATCTCTAAATCTCAAAATGCGATCTCTCCATGAGGATGTCCAGCCATTGAGCTTAAGCGGGCGACTAGCCTCTACAAAATGCGCAACAGCCTGAGCCCTCCGATCGGAATGTCCTGTTCGTTGACGTTCAAGTTTGATGACCTGACGAACAAGGAGGGAATTGCAGATGAGGAAGATGACCATGAATCCGAAGCCGACGCAAGATGGCCAGCCCATTATGTCGATCAGATAGTAGATTGTGACGATGACTTTGATGGGCGTTGCAACGACGCGCGGAAACTCCCAGAATCGCTGGGATATCTCATAGGTATCGCCACGGATTAGGTTGACTACCTTTGCGTTTGAGGCTTGATGGTCTGGTGCTGGTTTCTCTGCTGATCTGGACTTGTTGCGACCGCAGCATTTGTTGAAGAACCTGCGAAAGCGGTTTGAAGAAGGACTGCTCTGTTGAGTATCTGCTGAAGGGTCTTTTTCTGTCATTTCGGATCCTGGGACGGCTCTTGTGAGGAGTTTGCTGAAGAGACCGATGAAAGTCTCACCGCGACTTCGTTCGTAGGCCTTGCGGGAGTACCATCCTGAAGATGTCCTTGCGATTTGACGAACAGTGTCGATGCTGAGAATAACGACACACCAGAGCCCAGCTTCTGCAGGGTCGTTCTTGTCGAGAGATTGATAGAGCTTGCTTGTGAGACGAAGATTGGAAACTTCAGCGACCCGTTCCAGGATAGCTGCGAATGTGCCGATGAGAAGATCCAGACCGTTTGCTTCGATGAGACAAGGAAGAAGCTTGCCCTTGAGCGTTCGGAATACCTGGTGCAGTCTCCAGTGCTGAAACTCATAGGGGAGCTGCCAGACGTCTTGGATGGCGATTTCTCGTTCCTGGGCAATCTTTGATAGGGGGTCCACCCATCTCATGGTCCAGAATTGGAAGAGGGTGAGGTTATCTTCTGGACTTCGGACGTGGTTCGATGGAGCGGCCTTGGCGTTTCCGATATTTGAGGAGCCCCAGAATGGATTTCGTAGAGGCATGTTCATGATGACCAGAAGTGCCAAGATCTCGAGGGTGAGATGTCCAATGTCAAAGGGATTGATTGAGTTGGCCTTGAAGCTGAGGTAATAGATCGCTCTGAGGGTTAGAGTCGTTGCCATCATGAGAAAATACTGTAGCATCAACAACTTGGGGGCTTGGACAGGTCTATCCAGAACCGTAATCAACGCCACAACAGTCCAAGGCACAAGCTCCATAAACGAAGCCTTGTGATGAGAATGAAAAATAGCAGAGCTTATAGCCAGGCCCAGCCCAAGCAAGGCGATGAGCAAAAGGCACAGGGTCCAGAAAGTCCATTTCCTCTTCTTGGGATGAAACGGTGGTGGTTCTTGCGCAAACGGCTGCAACCAGCGGGGAGTAAACCGTGACAACGGTGTTCGACAAAGGTATAGCAAGAGTATCGAACATGAAGCTATATCAAGACTGAGCATAACGCCCACTTCTCGCTTCGGCCATGATGTACCCCATGTTGAATACAGTGGTTGATCTGTGGGTATGTAGTTGAAGAGTTGCTTCGAGAAGCTGGCGTGGTAGAGGTCTACAGCTGCCATACTGGCAAACAGCCAGAGTTCCAAAATGTATCAACTGGATAAGGTTCTTAGCTCATCAAGCTTTGGAGATAAACGGCGAGAGTCAGAATGTAACGTAATAAGCGGAAACTGAAAGCGTAGTAATATATGGTGCCAAGATGTCAATGGGTGCTAGAATAGCTTGGTAGGTATACAATGGCTTGGGAGATTCGAGACATAATAAAGCAAAAGCTGTCTGTACGAAATAGAAACGTGAAAAACATACAAATGGGCGTTTGTTATGTTATGTCCGAGAGCAGGGCGATTCACACATGGGGAAAAGTTTATTCGCAGGGCGTTACTGATGGGAGAAGAGAGCACAACACATAAAACGACGAATTATAAGCCATTGGCTCGCTGCATAGAGATGAAACAATTCATATGAATCAGATGTTACAACGGCATTGCATTGGTGTATCAATCAATGGCAGGGCAAAAGTGAGTGAGTGAGAGAGTGAGAGAAGAGACGCTGGCGGTGAATATGGATTTTCCGTCCCAGTCGCGGACGACATCAGATCAGAGGCCCTTGAATGTCCAATGAGAAGCTAGTGGAGAAACATGTTTGTTCGTTGTTGAGCGTGGAGTATTTCTCCGGATACGGCTTGGTACAGACAGATATTCGCTGATCATTGGCATGGGGGAGGGTAACGTAGGATTCAACCTCGACTCAACGATGTTGTTGATGATCTGCAACTCAGCGGCACGGCACAGTGAAATTGAATTGTTTCGTCATGTCTGTCTGCTTGTGTGATTAAATAAGAATAAAAATACAACGCTCTCAACCAATGTCGTTCAGTCTTTTCTTAAACAAGGAGAGCTCCGCCTGCAATCGCAATGGTCATTAGAGTTATCATGCCCACGCCGTTTGCTGACCAAGCCTGCAGCGCCGCGACAGCGTTGTCGCTCGATGTTGAGGATGCAGCTGAGCCGGTGCTTGTAGCGGTGCCTGAAGCGGTGCCGGTCGATGAGGAGTCGGCCTTGGAGTCGTTGCCGACCAGCGCGGAGAGTTTGGAGTCGTCGACGAATGAGGCCTTGACCGAGGTTGCGTTCTTGCACTCGCTGGGAGGATCGGCCTTGCCCTTGACGAAGTTGGCAGCGATGCACTGACTGTATTAGCATTCGAACTTCATTGTGTTGAGATTGGAATCAAGGACTTACCTGGTAGAGAAGACCATCGACAGCAGAGGATACAACGTTCACCCAACCCTTCTTGCCAGCATATTTCTCAGGAACAGTGATCTGCGGCTCGCAAAAGTTACCAAGACCGCTCTGCTGGACAATAGGAAAGACCTGCTCCCAATCGCCATCAGCCTTCTCGTTGAGAGTCACGCGGAAGAGCCAATTGCCCTGCTGATGCGTCGACTGCAGAGCGATAGCCTCGCCGCCGACGTGGAAGTCAACGAGCTTGTCCTTGGAGAGGTCGGGCGTGAAGCCGCCGCAGGGAGACTCGCCCTCGTTGTCGTCTTTGAAACCGATGGACTCGGGATACTTGACTAAGAAGTGGGCGGAGGAGACGCCGCAGAGGAGAGCGGTTGAGAGGAGAGTAGAGGAGCGCATTTTGTGCTGTGTTTGGTGTTATGGGGGAGTGTTGTGTGTGTGGTTTGTGAGAGCTGGCTGAGGTGGGCGGCTGAGCTGCTTTTGTAGGAGTTGCGGATATCGGCAAGGGGATTAGGGAGAGGCTGAGCTAGTGTGAGCTGTGTTTCGCTAACAAGGTAGGTATGTATGTTACGGCGTCAGATATCAGGCCGTTATGAGAAATGACCTTCCATTGGGATCATCCAACTCAAATACTTTAACGTGATGGCATTTTAATTCACGTAGTCAGATATTATATGAACTCAAGTTACACATATTTCCAGTAGCACCGCATGAATACACAGCATTTGCAAACTCCCCATCATGAAAGCTACGTCATTGAGGCTCTGTGCTCCCATGATGAGCCAGCCCATCAATGCAAGCCATCCTCACTAGCCTGAAGCAATTCACGCCAATTCCACATCAAACATGCATCCAAAACACCCAAAGCCTCAAAAATCGCCTATTCTTCAAGGGCGCAGAGACTTTCCACCGCAGAGTCTAGCAGTGTAAGCCTCCATCGCCAAATGCCGTGTTAGTGGTGAGCACGTTTTCGCTCTACCTACCCCAAGAGTCTAGACCTCGCAGGGAAAAAAACAGGGGTCCTTGACATGCGGAGGAGCCAATCAGAACGAGAGCGTGCACGGACCTGAGGTTATTTGAGCAAGTTTTCTTGTCTTGTTCTTGTTAGTGAGCGAGTTTTTTGTCAGACCATGAGAGTTGATTCATAGTGAGAAGGTTTGATGAATGGTGATAAGTATCGGGTGTTCGGCATGAACGGATAGAACGGATACAGTTTTGGGGGAGATTTGAAAGAGATGGTTATTGAGAGATTGAGTTTTGGTAATTTTATGCGCAATTTGACGGTTGTTGGACGTTTCTACTGCCGGGTGTAGCCTCAAAGTATCAAGCTCGCATCGCTTGATTGCCCAATCTAAAGAGGTTAGTTGCAGATACAAGCGATCTGACGGGCATCTCGTCTCGTCTCGCCTGTCAATCACACTCCGCGGGGTCAACTCTTCTTCCACTACCTACCTACCTACCATATCCAACATCAGCACTCGGGCTCTCCCTACCCGGCAACCTGTGACCTTGACATCTTGTTTGATACAGTCGCCGTAAGCCAAGAAGCGGTTTCATCATATCATATCAACTTGCTCATTCGTTCTCACCCGAGTGTCGACAAGTCACATAGTCAGAGGGAAACTGGACACTTGCACTCAAACAAAACTTGGCTTGTTTGCAGGTAACATGAGTAACTGAAGCGCAAGACCATACCATCATAACAGGACTGTTCATGAGCCATAGACACATTGGCTCTGTCACGACGCTGGCCGTCTGAATCGTCCCTTCAACTCAGATCACATCTAACCCGCGCCATTGGCGCATCATAGCCCATCATGGATATGGACCACATGCATGACCCTAGCTTGCGGATGGAAGTCAACTATGCCTTTGCTCGTGGATACTGGTATACCATCGCTGGTGTCGTCGGCGCACTCGCTGCCATTCGTGGCATCAACTATCTCGACGCTCAGCAAAGGTACGTCGCTTGACCACCTCTCGTTAAACACGCTGACACCTGACCAGATTAAAAGCATGTCGCGATCCATCGATAGACCATCCAACTCGTCCACGAGGAGCTTTCAGCCAAGCATGGGCGACAGCAACCGCTGCTGTCCGCGAAATGGGTCATCCACAATACTACATCCCCATCAATGGCCTTCGATGGGCAACACCGCTTCCACTCGGCCGAATCATCGTCTTGATATGTTACTGGGTCGTTATTGTCTATTTGATGAGCTGGCAGGTTTCAAAAAACGATGTATACTACTGGGAGCGCATCGGATATCGCAACGCATGGGTCACTCTAACCCAGTTCCCGCTACTCTACCTTTTGGCGACCAAAGTCAACGTCATTGGATTCTTGATTGGGAGCAGTCATGAGAGACTTAACTGGCTGCATCGATGGGTTGCGCGTACCATGTTTGTTACTGCGACGGTCCATGGCTTTCACTTCTGGACTATGTGGGTGCGCGCCGAGTTCCTGGACACCGCGCTTGAGATTATGCCGCTGGTCAAGTATGGACTCGCGGCCTGGGCAATTCTGCTCTGGAACGTCGTCACTGGAATAGTTCCCATTCGAAGGCTTTCGTATGAGGTTTGGGTGGCTCAGCATGTGCTTACAAGCATTATTATGCTATGGTTGCTTTACGTGCATATTCCCTCGAATGCCCGATGGCTTCTGTGGATGAGTATTTCGTTCCTCGTTTTCGACCGCGCCATGAGATGGGTGCTTCTCCTCTGGCAAAATGTACGTCTTCGATCACAAGGGACAGAATGTCAAGGCATGAAGCATCTTGGGCATCGAGTCGTTACGCGCGCTGTTGGACAAGCCACCACCGTCGTTACCATCAAGGATGTACACTTCAAGTGGAAGGCAGGACAGCATATTTATCTCTGGGTCCCACGTCTCGGACCCTTCGAAGCGCACCCGTACACAATCGCATGTGCGCACAAACTCGAAGGCGCATGCTGCTGCAACAGTATACAGCTTGTCGTGCGCGCCCATAACGGATTCTCCAAACGACTATACGAATATGCGACAAAGAATTCGGGATCCGAACTTACAGGCTTCGTATCAGGGCCATATGGCGTTCCCCCGAAGTGGGATATTTACGAAACGCTGGTACTTATTGGAGCGTCAACTGGGGCCAGTTTTGTTGTTCCCATCCTCGAAAGCATTGCGGCAGCGCAAAAGTCGAATTGCACACGAAGAGTCGAAATTATCCTCGTTGCGAGGACATCTCAAGAAATACAATATTACGTCGAAAGGGCGGAAGAGGCTGGAAGAATGGTACGAGCCAAAGGCGTCGGGGTAAGCATCCATATCGCCATAACAAGCTCCAGTCAAACAGGCCCGGTCTTCAGTCGATCAGAGACCTCAAACACAAGCG